ATATGAAAAAAAGCCTAAACCATTTTCGAAAAGCTCAGCCTATCACAGCAGTGCACAGATAGGTTTGTTATGTATAAAATTATTCAACCAATTAGTGGCAACATTTAACAAACCCTGGAGACAAAATATTACTTATAACTGGGCAAATAAACTCACTTGTTGTAGGGCTTTCTCTCAAATGTTTTTATTATTTGGTGCTTTACTGCATATTAGATTGAAATATATATGTGTGACGATCGCGCATCAGACCCCAGCCCTTCTCACCAAACTCGTGACCGAAGGACTAGCCAATCTAAAACTGCAATGTCACCAGCGTAACAATGCCACGCCCAGCTGCACCGTGCACAACGATTTTCCAGCTAATGGACCACAAATCGATGTACCGGCAGCCTGGGTGCAATTGTTACTGGATCAGGTTAATTACGCAATTAACCCTTTACACTGCCACCATCTCCTTTTTGTACAGTGAAAGAGGAAACTCGGCAATATCAGCAATAACACTAGGATGATTGGATAATCGTCTGTACACCACTGTCACCACAGACAGGTTATACAGAGGGTTATACACACATAGTAGCACTCTTCAGCGGCAGGAATTCATAAGTTGCATTAAAGAGCTATAGAAACAGTTCAACACTTTCAGAAAGAAAGATTTATTACCCATCTCCACTCTTAACTAGGAAACACATTGATTCCTGTTAAATTCAGAACAAATAGTGTATTTATATTTGTGTATCCAAGCCACTGAGTTCGCCTCCCCTGCGGCACTCTCCTATGGTGCTCTTGTCACCGCTGACCACCTTCCAGGTCCTCCCAAACCCCCTTTCTCTATCCTTCTCCTCCTTCGAGGCCCACTGCATCTGACTCTTCTCTCCCAACCCTCTGAGGATTGCAGTAATCTATCAGCCTCCTGGACCCGTATCCCGCTTCCTTGACGACTTTTCCACCTGGCTGCCCTTCTACCTCTCCTCTGAGCCACCCACCATCATCCTTGGAGACTTCAATATCCCTATCAATGTCAACAACCCGGCTACATCCCAACTCCTCCAGTTAACCTCTTCTTTTGCACAGTGCACACAGTCCCACCCACCCACACCGATGGGAACACCCTGGACCTCGTTTTCTCCCATCTCTGCACCCTCCACAACCTCACAAACACCCCTTTCCCTCTCTCTGACCACAACCTCATTACGTTCTCCATCTCCCCATCCTATAATGCCTCCCCCCCAAACGTCAAACCATCACCAGCCGTAACCTCCGCAACCTGAACCCGGCCCCTCTTCACTCTGCAGCTGACCGTCTGTACGACAGTATCCTTCCACTGTCATGCCCTGACCTGGCCACTACTGCGTATAACTGCTCACTGTCAGCTGCCTTAGACTCCTTAGCACCCTTAACCACACGTAGCATTAGACCCCGACCGCTTCAACCCTGGCAGAATGACCAAACTAAAAATCTTAAACGACGCAGTCGCGTGCTGGAACGATTATGGCACAAAACCAAATCCCCTCAAGCGTTCTCCCTCTACAAATCTGCCTTGCTCACCTACTCCTCCTCCCTCCAAGCCTACTTCGTAACCCTCATCAACACCCTTTCCACCTGTCCTCACCGGCTCTTCTGCACTTTCAACTCCCTACTCTCTTCCCCCCCACCCCCACCCAGTACCTCACTCACCGCCCACAAGATTGCCAATCACTTCCAAAATAAAATCAACACAATCCGTAAGGACATTGCCAATGCTCAACCTACCTCCCCACCTAGCCTCCCTCCCACTATAACCCCATCAACTCTCCCCTCCTCTGACCTTGCAACCCCCCACTGCAAACCATTATTTTTGGATATTATTTGATCAAGAGTCAGTACTACTGCTCCGAAAAGGTCTCAAGCCCCTGATAATAGCTGCAGGTGCTAGCTAAACTCAAAGCTTTGTCATGGCCCTAGCAAGTATGTCTCATCTTCAAAACCAGCTTTATTGCAACAAGGGGCAGACATACAGTATCAAGTGCCTTTCCTGTAAGACATGTACATTATTACTCATTGCAAAGTGTAATTAGAAAAAATAACTTTTTAATATGCCTCTTGTGCAAACATAACTTTTTGAGTCCTTTAGTTGATGGCTTCAGTGTTTCTATTACGACTGGAATACTGCTTAGAAGGCAAATGACAGTCTGTGAACTGGTAACTGCCATTAGAGGTGCATTTCCTTCTCCTGTTTTCTCCAACTGAATGGAAAAAACACCTGTTCATGTTGCTGAACACACTGTTATGTACTACCGTCTTTATTATCTAATTTCTCATTAGCCAGGAAAAATCTGTACCATTGGTTGTCATGCTCTTGTAATTTTCAGAAGGCCATTTGACTGTGTCTTGGTGGTTATGCCACCTCACTTATTCAATTGATGATAAATATAATAAGTGATTACAACCTTTTCTCTGTATATGAATTTAGCCAATCCTCATGTGGCTATTACCAAAAAAGTTAATGCCAAATCAAAACAACTGTGATAAAAAATAAAAATCTAATTTATTTACACAGAAAAGTAGCTTGCTTTTAATTAAATATAACAAAATATAAAGTAGCTGGTATAACTTTAAAAGTAGTGATATCACAATGTAAATACAGAATGTTACCAATACATAGAGACAACTACAGGAAATAAAGTTACAGAAAAAAGGAACAAAGAATAATGATGATACGTTTTACAGACAACCTTATGTTCTCATTGTGCTCAGTGATCAAGAGGTTTACTCTTGCAAAGCCCACCCTAGACTTACCCTAGACTTACCCACCCAAGTAAAGTCTTACCCTTCCATATATCATAAGTCCTTGCCACTTCCAGTCAATGAGTGGTGCTGGTCAGTTTAGATCACCAGCTGTTATAAAAGACAGAAATCCCACCTGTCTTCCTTCCCCCTAACCTCAATCAAGTCCTTTGAAGTGGCATCCCCCACAGAGTTATTTGTCACATACCCCTTTAGGCTGGCCATAGAAGGGCCATTTTTCGGCCGATAAACGAAAAATCGGTCATTGCCGTTGCCGATGCTGCCACCAATGTCTCAGAAAAACGACCATTTTTCTTGGATTTTCCAGCGTGACCGATAAAAAGAAATGAGAAGAACTAGGAAAAACGGCCGATGGCATTGCCCCACTAACGGTGTGAATATCGGCCGATTTTTCGTGCGGACGAAAATTCGACCGATAAACGACCCGTCTATGGCCTGCATAAGTGCTATTTGCCATGACAGTTAGATTCCCCTTCCTGGCAGCGAGAGAATTCCAAGGTTGGCTTGTAATCTCCTTTTATTACAGCAGTTCCTGGAATTTCTTTAGAACTAAGACTTAAGATACCTACCAAAAGTTCACAATATTGTTCATGAAGGTAAAGATTATTGTTTATCCATTACAACTGTAATCTGCTTTAGCAAATAAAAAAAAATACTAATCTATCACACATCTCATTCACATTATCTTACTGAGGGCAGTAAATAGAGGTTTACAGAATAGAAGAATGTTTTACTTCTGCATGATCAAACAATGAATACTATGAATGTGGTATAACTGGGTGAAGAGCATGAACAACTTAACACAACAGCCACAGTATATGGGCCCATACTGACTCCCATTTATTAGGCTGTCGATGTCTCTCCAGCAATGTGCTGCATCCAGTGCAGTTAGAGCGCTTCCTTCCAAATTCATTGCTCCGCAGAATTACCTGTGGGCAACTCAATGCAGTTAGGACTTGAATAGCTTTTTAAAAGAAAGGCTACTCTAGCCCTAAACATGATTTCCTAGCAACTGCCAAAACATTTTAGGGCTCGTTCACACCGTGGTACAGAGACTGCAGTTTTTTTACATGCATTCTTCAAGGGCACAACAAAATCAATTGTTCTCTATGTGCCCTGTTCACACCACAACACTAGTATCGCGTGCAGATTTTTTTCTGCTCAGGAATCTGCAAAGTGTATAAAACTCATTGAGGCATGCAAGAAAACTGATGTAAACTGATGTGAAATCTGTGCTTCAGTGTTCATCCGTTTTTCTGCACATATGGTGTGAATGAGACCTAAAACATTACTGTATCTGAAGAAAGCATTGCTCCTTCTGTTAAAAGTAGCCACTTAAATTACGCCTTTTACTATAACCATAATTTGTGGTAGGAACGAGAAAGAGATTCTAACGGAATGAAAAAATAATGAGTGCAAATCAGACTTAATTGTTTTTATTGATGTTTTACAGTTTATGTAACTATTCTACACCTCTTCATGTGGCAACACCCATGATCTCACCCACAATGATGAAACTAGACTCAAAGTTGCATATGTGTTGGCAGTATAATGAAATAATATTATAAGGTTGTAAAATAAGTATGCATTCTCACTGTCATCAATGCAAAGCACAATGCAGAGAATTTCCTAGAAATCAATATAATTTCAGCCACTCTGCTTAGACCAGGAAGTAATAGGTCTGAATAACTGTTCCAATAATTGTCTTTCTCAAAACAGCTAGGATTAAATGGTCTGATCTGTTTATATTTTATTCCAAATCTATACATTATTTTATTGTATACTAGATGGAGCTGATGATCATGATCATCAGCATCACCTAGTGGCTATAAAGCTGTATTTTCAAGATTCATGTTATAAATAGTGTATAATAATAATAATTCTTAAGAATGAAGAACATCTGACTTCTATAGAAAAAAAATATTCTAGTAGCATTTGATTTTGCTGGAATTCGCACAGAGCAAATGTACATGCAGTTTCACAGGACAAATAGCTCTCTGATTTTATAATAAATACACCCCTCAGTATGGGCTTTATAAATACAGTAAATATTGTGGGCAAATGCAAAGGAATCCATATTTCCAAATGTGCCTGTGTTTACTCATCTTTGTGAATATGTCCCTATATGTAGATTTATTGAAAAAATATACTGTAAGCTGGAGCTTATACTTTCATGTGTTCACCTACAACGTTAAAGTCTGATTTTATCTTTTTAGGTGATGTTAATCTTGGAACAGAGGAAGCACATGATGAGAAAGGATGTCATTGCGATGTATCCGTTGAAGATCTAACGCCTGCTCTTAAAACTGTCATCCGAGCGATCAGGTCAGTAAACGTCACAGTTACTACTGTGTATAAAGTAAAATTGATTTTTCTCCCTTTTTAATAATAATTGTATGCTAAAGTAATAAATCTTCCTAAAAAAAAAAACACTTCCAGAAATTATCAGTCATTAACATTAATAACAGTTAACCTTTAAAGCTTTGTAACTATTCATTTATCTAACATACAGAACATTAAATTGTAGAGCGCTGTCCATGATTTAATCAAAGGTGAGCAAAAGGGTCAGATAACCCAAAGCATCCAGTTAGGTTCAAGATTCATTCATTTGGCTAGGATGAGAAATGAAAATGGAAGAAATGGAATCAGGAGATTCGATTGTAAGGTTGGACATGGATATTAGGTTGCAAAGCCTTTGTTTATCACTAAAACATGTCGGAATGAAAAGTGTCAGAAAGGATTGTGGCAATGGAATGAACTTATGTTTGATACTTAGTCATTTCATGTTTTTTGTTATATCGCATGTAGGCATTTGTAAATTAGTCAGTAGAGGGAGTCAGTGGCTTAGTGCGATTACTCTGTCTTTTCTTAACAACTGTTAAAGTGTTACTAAACCCACAACAGTAAAATCAGTCTGTATATGCAGTAAAGCGTGCGTGTTATACTCACTGTGGAACCTAAGGGGTTAATCCTCTGCATTGTGTAAAAAGGATGATTGATCCTGACTTCTCTGCCCCTCCTTCTGTTCAAGTGTCCACACTGATAAGACAGACTGAACCTGTAGCTCTTCTGCACATGCTCAGTTTAGTGTGTATTGCTAGAGAGGTTTTTTTTTTCTGGGAGAGTTCATGTGATCAGCACAGGGCCAATCATCACAGTCCAGACACAGGTCAGGGGTTCTACATCCTCCTAGAGCAGAAATGAAACTCCTCCTACAAGCTTTAAGCTGAAGTCCCAAAACTGCTCTAACTGCTGATGAGAAAAGGTATTTAGCACTTTATATTTACTAAAATAATTGCACTTTCATGTAGTGTGTACTGTGGGAGACCAGATATAGTGAATGCAGGGTCCTGGGTTTAGTAACACTTTAAGATAAGCTATTGGCCACATAGGGAGTGCACTGTTTTCTGTGAGTTGGTGGATTCATAGACCTGCATTACAAGAAGAAGCAGATGGTTAACAGAGTATGCTTCTATAGTGCGGAAATATGGTACACCCATGTTAATATATTATACATAGAAACTAGGTTAAGATTATTTACATGATCTCTTTTTATAAGTTTATCTTTAAAAAAAAAAACTACTATGCATTTTAAAGGTTTATTATTATTAGCAAAGTGAAAAAATTAGAAATTCACATGACTCATTATGTACAGTACAGGTAAATAAACCATTCATGCACTTTAAACCAAAACATAAGAGCAAATATTGCATACCTTGAACGTATAAAAAAGCTAGAAGTGACACAACTTTTTCTTTACTCTAACAGAATTATGAAATTCCATGTAGCAAAGCGAAAGTTCAAGGAGACCCTGCGGCCATATGATGTGAAAGATGTGATTGAGCAATATTCTGCTGGCCATTTGGATATGTTATGCAGAATAAAGAGCCTCCAAACACGGTCAGTAAATAGAATATGGCCTTTTAACTTTATAGATATATGCAGTTGAAATAAAAAAAAAAACCAATTATTTGCATTTCAATTTGAATTGTTCAAGAACTTTGTCCTTTATTGGAATTCCGTTATAGTTCAGGAGGATATTTAAACTAAGACATTTATCGTCACTTATGTCGAGTTCCATGCCATCGTGCTGAGATGTTGTCAGTTGGTGGCTGGCCTCCTACACTGTTCCTTGTTGTCAGATTGCTCTGTTTTTTTTTTCACTTAAGCCAAATATCAAGAACAATGCCATTTTGTCAGTTATTGTGCTACTACTACAGATATGTAGATTACCCCACTAGTTTCTATGTGTATTACATTTCATTTACTTCAGTCACTTGCCCTCCTTAAACAGCAATTGTTGAGGTCAAATTTCAGCCAGACAGGAATATAGAGAAGTCAACCAGCTAGACTGGAGGTGAAGTGGATGTTCTCAGAATGAATAGACTTTAATTTGGTAGCTGACTTTACAGAAATGTTTAATGCATAGGTTTTAATTGCTAAGCCATAGCGTAAAATTGAAAAGGTTTAATTTTCCTGGAAAGTTTTTCACAATACAGCTTTAAAGGCTCCTTTCACACAGGCATCATCCATTCAGTCACATTTTTTTAACAGTAAGGCCTCTTTCATGCGGGCGGTCCCTTCATTCTCTATGGAGCAGTGGATGTAAATGGACTTGTGTCCGTTTACACCTGCCTACTTCCAATCCGATCCAGCAAAAACAAATTAAATGGGATCTGTTCTCCTCCATCTGGGCGGATCAGATCGGAGGGCAATGGGTCCATTTACATCTGACTGTCCATAGAGCAGAGCGGGCTGTGTCCATGTCTGCTCTGCATAAGCTGAGCAGACACAGACCTGTCTTCCACCTGCTCCATTCTGCTCAGCAGGGGATCAGTAGACAGATCCCCAGCTGAGCAAAATTGATTCAACTCTGTGTGTCAGGGGTTTTAAAAAAAACAGATTCAGTTTTAGCCCTGGTTAACACTGATGCAAATCTGATGCAATTCTGATGTGTTCCAGAACACATAGATTCGCATGTCAAGAGAGATATCATGGATTTCTATGGCCTTTCTTCACACTTGGGTGTTTAAATGCAATGCACTTTCAATGTCACAAAATAAGCCAGAACACAAATTGCAGCTGTTCCTGAAATCCCACCACATTCGTGTGAACCAGGGCTTAATCAGTTTGCATATCCATCTACAGTTGAGTTCAGTTTACATAAGTTTATATCAGTCTACATCCATTTTTGCATCTGTTTTTTCATAGTTGTTGCAGAGACCAATTGGAGGTGACAAAAGAATAAACAGAAAGTATTTCTTGCCTAAAAACAGACATAAACAGAAAGGACGTAAATGGATGACATCACTTTACATCCATTCAGATCCTTCTAAAGAAAAAAGGACACAGCCTTGCTTCTTTAAAAAAAATGGACCTGAATGGATGCTAATGTAGTCTGATGTAAACGGATGATGATCCTTTCAATCCGCTCACCCATAGACATACACTGTGGTTCAGCTTGGATCAGCCTGAAAAACTAACAGACGAATCTAGACTAAACGCCCATGTGAAAGGGGCCTCAGGGATAAAAAAGGGATAAAAAAAGTATTAAAAGGATATCACATAAATGTGATTGTTTTGTATAAATTGTTAGCATAACACTGAGATAAGATCAAGTCGTGTTGGTAAACATAGAAGTTAGCATGATGGCGACTTCTTCACAGGTTTGCAATTGCTAAAATGACTTTGCATTCGCTTACTAGAGCATCTGCTACTCACACAGTAAATGCAATTGTCATTCAGATCACCCAATATCATTCTTGTGACCTGTGGTTAAATCTGGTGAGGGAATTTTTTCTTTTAGTTTTACTGAACTTTTTTCCTTATGAGGTGTCTGGATCAGATGAGTAGAGACTTGATCCAGCTGCCATGTCCAACTCTTTACCACCTAATTTTGATCTATAGCTAGCTGCAATCAAGTAGAAATAGATCACTATACAGCAGCAATGGGCAAACTACGGCCCGCGGGTCGTATACGGCCTGGCGGACCTTTTAATCCGGCCCGCGGAGCGTGGCAAACATTGGCTGTCAGGATGTAGGCGGGGCAGCGTGACGAACGTGAGGGGAGCTAGGCTCCTCTCACAGTCCGCCCTGAAGACCGGAACGGCGCGGGAACACGGCGAGAGGAACGCACGGAGCAAAGGTAAGTGAATTGACACAATATGGGGAATGAATTACTACAGGGGGGATGAATTACTATATGGGGGATGAATTACTATGGGGGATGAATTACTATATGGGGGATGAATTACTATGGGGGATGAATTACTATGGGGGATGAATTACTATATGGGGGATGAATTACTATATGGGGGATGAATTACTATGGGGGATGAATTACTATATGGGGGATTAATTACTATGAATTACTATATGGGGGATGGGGGATGAATTACTATATGGGGGATGAATTACTATATGAATTACTATATGGGGGATGAATTACTATGGGGGATGAATTACTATGGGGGATGAATTACTATATGGGGGATGAATTACTATATGGGGGATGAATTACTATGGGGGATGAATTACTATATGGGGGATTAATTACTATAGGGGGGATGAATTACTATATGGGGGATGAATTACTATGGGGGATGAATTACTATATGGGGGATGAATTACTATGGGGGATGAATTACTATGGGGGATGAATTACTATATGGGGGATTAATTACTATAGGGGGGGATGAATTACTATAGGGGGGATGAATTACTATATGGGGGATGAATTACTATGGGGGATGAATTACTATATGGGGGATTAATTACTATAGGGGGGATGAATTACTATATGGGGGATGAATTACTATGGGGGATGAATTACTATGGGTCCGGCCCCCGGGTCCAATATATGAACCCATTGCGGCCCTAGAGTCAAAAAGTTTGCCCACCCCTGCTATACAGTAATCACTATAATAATGATCTACTGCTGGAAGAAGAGAATAGACTATGTTGCGTCAGCTTTTCATAAGCCACCGCAATTACAGGAAGCACCATAAAGTTATCTTACTCTAACATCCCATGTGGAAGCATTGTGTTTACAGTGCTTCAGAGCACTCTACTGCATAGGTTTGGGAGCCCAGGAGCTGATGTCAGCTCCTGGGCTTATTGCTAGATCCAAGCTACCATTGACTGTCAGCACCATTAATCCGCAACCTGGGCAGGACCTGAGAAAACTGTTAAGTCTTGGTGCCATTTCAGAATGGTGCTGGGACAAATAGCCGCTGTCCCAGAGCCATTTAAAATCAGCAACTGCACCCCAAGTGGTTAAGCTAATCATGTTCACGTTTTCAAAAAAAAATGATGATTATAGTTACCTTTTAAGGCATCAGTAAATCTTCCAACATATTTTAAAATAGACAAGGTTTTGGTGATATTGGCTTAAATCAAACAGGCTTATAAAGCAGTGCAGAGAGAAATGAGATCTGTGCAATAGCATATAGAAACCAATAAACTATCATTGGGAAAAAAAGTCATTCTCATTAGTTGTGATGGGTTTCTGCTCTTTGCACATTGCTCTCTGGTGTAGAGTAATCTTGAATATAGTTTCATGACTGTTATTCAGCTAGGAATTTGAAGAATATTAATGTCCAAAAGTTGGTTTACTTTTGTAAAATCAATAAAGTATATTCCTTACAGTGAAATTATTTTGGATCTTTAACCACTAGCCTACAAGGCACTTATACCCCTTTCCTGCCAAGGCCAATTTCCAGCTTTCAGCGCTGTCACAATTTGAATGACAATTGCGCGGTCATGCAACACTGTACCCATATGAAATTTTTATCATGTTTTTGAGACAGATAGAGCTTTCTTTTGGTGGTATTTAATCACCTCTGGGATTTTTTATTTTTTCTTAAACAAATTAAAAACCACTGAAAATTTTGAAAAAAAAAAGTTTTTTCTTAGTTTTTGTTATACAATTTTGTAAATAAGTGATTTTTCTCCTTCACTGATGTGCGCTAATGAGGCTGCAGTGATTATTATTATTATTACATCGAGTTTATATAGCGCCAAAGGGTTTGCTCAGCGCTGTACAATAGAGGGGGGGACAATACATGAAACAGTACAGCAACTACAAACAGCACACGAGGGGTTAGTGGGCCCTACTCTTTCGAGCTTACAATCTAGGAGGGAGGGGGGTAGTGGTACAGGAGGAAGCGGCCATGGGGGATGGAGTGGTAGGAGGACTGAAGGAGAACGGCTGTTAGGTGAGGGTAGGGTAGGCTTCCCTGAAGAGGTGGGTTTTCAGGGAGCACCTGAAGGTGAGGAGGGAAGGTGACAGTCTGATTGGATTGGGGTAGTGAGTTCCAGAGGATGGGGGAGGACCTGGAGAAGTCTTGCAGTCGTGCGTGGGAGGAGACCAGGGAGCAAGATAGAAGGAGGTCCTGTGAAGAGCGAAGGGTACGGGTAGGGTGGTACCTGGGAATCAGGTTGGTGAGGTAGATAGGGGCAGTGTTGTGAATGGCTTTGTAGGTCAGAGTGAGTAGTTTGAATTTGATGCGTTGGGCAATAGGAAGCCAGTGGAGAGATAGGCAGAGGGGGGTGGCAGAGGTGGAGCGGTTGGTGAGGTGGATGAGTCTAGCTGCTGAGTTCAGGATGGTCTGAAGCAGGGAGAGCCTGCACTGGGGTAGGCCGGTGAGGAGGGAGTTGCAGTAGTCGAGGTGTGAGATAATCAGGGAGTGTACGAGTATCAGTGATGGGCACTGATAGGCTGCACTGATGGACACTGATAGGTGGCACTGATGGGCACTGATGAGGAGGCACTGGTAGGTTGCACTGATGGACATTGACAGGCATCACTGATGGGCACTAAAAGGCAGCACTAATACATGACACTGATAGGCGGCACTGATAGGCTGCACTGATAGGCAGCACTGACTGGCGCTTTTAGGCAGCACTGATGCGCACTGATAGGCAACACTGACTGGCACTGATAGGTGGCACTGACTGGCACTGATGAGTGACATTGAAAGGCAGCTCAGATGGGCACTGATATGTGGCATTGATGTGCACTGGTATGCACTGATATGTGGCATTGATGTGGCACTGATGGGCACTGGCACGTGGCACTGATGATCACTGACTGCTGGCACTGATGGACACTGACAGGTGGCACTTCTGGGGCCACACTGATCATCAGGGCACACTGATTATCAGTGCCCTGATGATCAGTGTACATGTCCCCTCTGCGGAAAGCCAATTACCGGCTCTCCTCTCCTCTCGAGCTGTCAGCGTGACAGCTTGAGAGGAAAGAAATGCTTATAACCGGCATTTCCGTGTTTACATGTGATCAGCTGTGATTGGACACAGCTGATCACATGACCGAGCTGACATCTTCGGCTCTTTCCCTCAGCCGCACATGCGCGGTGAGAATGGAAGGACGTCATATGACGTTCTCCCAGAACGATAGAACCACCTTGTGCCCATCATTGTCCTATATGGCGGGCGGAAGGTGGTTAAAGCAGAAATCAAACTGTTAAATACAGAGCTGAAATATGTATAATTTACAGTAACTGCTTTAAACACCTGCCAACCGCTCACAGTAAATATACTGCAAATGGGCGGCAGGCGCAGGCACAATTCAGTGGTGTGAATGCGTGTGCCCCCTGCTGACCCATGCTGTGGACACAGCATGAGTTTGGCAGCTGACTTCAGCCAATGATTTTTGATCACCTGTGTCCAATCATGCACAGTGTTCTGTGTTCACAAAAAAACAGAACTCTGTGTACAGAGAACTGTGATCGGTCTATTTCTTCTCCCTGAAAACCCTCCCAAGCCAGTGTCATTAGTGTCAGTGTACAATTTTAGCACTGATCACTGCATTAGTGTCACTATTGAAGTCAGTCAGTTAGTTAGTGAATCTCCCAGCGAGTGTCAGATTATCTGCCACACTATTACACTCCCACTATAACTTTCTGAACTGAGCCATAGAAACAAACCAACGGGTAATTCCGATCAAATTTAGTAAATCTGGCAGGAACCAGGTACCATCAAGTCAAAAGTTTGTAATTCTTTCCAGGGCGACAATATTCTGTGATGAGGATTTGGCTAAAGCTCATATGTCATTCCAGTTCTCTGCTTCTATAGTAATTTTGAGGTCCATCTACCATTGGCATGTATATGTGGGGAGATCAAGGGGTAGACCTTGCTTAACATAAGGGGAATAAAAATGTTTAATTTGTAAATAGCAAAATATTTCCATGTTGGGCAGGCTGTATGATTCCTGTAGGGCTGGAAAGGTTTTAAAAGCCATGTAGGTACAACATATTTAATTTATGGAGTCCAATAATTTTGCATCCACCCAAGTCCAGAAAGAGAGTGGGGAGGCAATAGCTGAGTAAAATGATGGATCCTTTAAAAATGATAATGGTACATGTGAGGAGAGAAGCCCAAAGGGACCTTAAGCCTATCCCAGAGAGAAAGTAAATGTTTAGGGAACAGGTTGGAAATGTGCTTTTGATCTGTGAGGCCCTTCTCAACCTATTTAAGAAGTTTTAATACTGTGTGTCCCCATTAGAGATACAATATTTTCCCAAAAGCATTAGGATACCCCTCCAAATCATTGGATTCAGGTGTTCCAATCACCGCCATGGCCACAGGTGTATATAATCAAACACCTAAGCATGAAGACTGCTTCTACAACATTTGTGAAAGAATGGGTCGCCCTCAGGAGCTCAGTGAATTCAAGCGTGGTACTGTGATAGGTTGCCACCTGTGCAATAAGTCCATCTGTGAAATTTCCTTGCTACTAAATATTCCACGGTCAGCTGTTAGTGGTATTATAACAAAGTGGAAGCAACTGGGAAAAACAGCAACTCAGCCATGAAGTGATAGGCCACATAAAATGACAGAGCGGGGTCAGCGCATGCTGAAGCGCACAGTGCGTAGAAGTCGCCAACTGACTGCACAGTCAATAGCTAAAGACCTCCAAACTTCATGTGGCCTTCAGATTAGCACAGCAGCAGTATGTAGAGAGCTTCATGGAATGGGTTTCCATGGCCAAGCAGCTGCATCCAAGCCTTACATCACCAAGTCCAATGCAAAGTGTCGGATACAGTGGTGTAAAGCACACTGCCACTGGACTCTAGAGCAGTGGAGATGTGTTTTCTGCAGAAACGAATCATGCTTCTCTGTCTGGCAATCCGATTGACATGTCTGGGTTTGGCAGTTGCCAGGAGAAAGGTACTTGCCTGGCTGCATTGTGCCAAGTGTAAAGCTTGGTGGAGAGGGGATTATGGTGTGGGGTTGTTTTTCAGGGGTTGGGCTTGGCCCCTTAGTTCCAGTGAAGTGAACTCTTAAGGCATCAGCATACCAAGACATTATGGACAACTGCATGCTCCCAACTTTGTGGGAACAGTTTGGGGATGGCCCTTCCTGTTCCAACATGACTGCGTACCATTGCACAAAGCAAGGTCCATAAAGACATGGATGAGCGAGTCCTGACCTCAACCCGATAGAACACCTTTGGGATGAATTAGAGTGGAGAATGCGAGCCAGGTCTTCAAGTATGACATTAGTGTCTGACTTCACAAATGCGCTTCTGGAAGAATAGTCACACTCCTAAACCTTGTGGACAGCCTTCCCAGAAAAGTTGAAGCTGTTATAGCTGCAAAGGGTGGGTCAACTCAATATTGAACCCTATGGACTAAGACTGGGATGCCATTAATGTTCGTGTGTGTGTAAAGGCAGGTGTCCCAATACTTTTGGCAATATAGTGTATTTCCCAGGTGTTCCAAAGGCACATCAGGAAGTAATGGAAAAATCATAACAGGAAAACAAACAACAATAACAATTTGACAGAGGTTCTAACCCCTTTCCCCATGCTATTCAGAATATAACAAACACATTTTTATTCTACTGTTACATGTTAAATGTTTTAGAGATATAAAAATAATTGTATTACAGCATGCAGATACCTAAAGTTTAAAGGGCCTCTGCCATCACAAAAAAAGAAGCTGATACAGGTAAACTATGCTACATGCCTCAAGATATCTGTAGCAGCTTTTGAAACCCTCTTGTCATAATAAAATCCGAGGATATTTTAACAGGCGAAGCTCTGACTGAGTTTTGCTGAATCTTGCATCTAGGTCCTGTCTTCACACATTCTTTATTGTTTCTCATCATGATTGGCAAGGTTACTGGCCAGTAATAATGTGCAGGAATCAAGAAGAGGCAGACATGCTTTGGCACTATTGCCTGCTGTTACAAGTATATGCCTTCAAATTTACTTTATGAATTAATGAATGCACTTTATACCCTAAATCTTGGAAAACCCCATCCCTGTGCATACTGGCGTTTCAGAATAAGGTGACACAGGCAATGATACTAAAGTGGAAGCAGCCATTACAGACACTGTCCCTAAATTTTTGTCAGTGTGTTCCCCCTGGGTGGAACACTTCCTCCCCCCCCCAAATCATTGCTCCTCCCTTAATAATCTCCCCCCTCTGATTGTAGTCCTGAGCCTTGGTCCAGTCCCAAGCCCCCCTCTCTATTCTGGTAGTCACACTCTCTGTCCGCTCCCCCCCTTTTTTCTTTTTTTTCTATTTTCCCCCTTTTCTTTCTCTTTTTCTTTAACTCTGTCCGTTCACACTATCCCAATTGTTTTTTCTTCACCTTCCAAGGAACCCATCTGTATGTCCTAGGAGTAGCACTCATTTGTTTCCATCTAACAATACCCTGTTCCTTTTATTTTGTATTACTCTCTCCCACTCATTGCGGTTTCCCCTATGTTTACAACAGTTGGAACTTTAACCACCTTCCGCCCGCCCTATAGTACAATGACGGGCACAAGGTGGTTCTCTCGTTCTGATAGGACGTCATATGACGTCCTACCATTCTCACTGTGCATGTGCGGCTCAGGAGCACGCAGCGCGGCTCAGGAGTGCGGCTATTGCTGGTGCACTGTGTCCCTCGGACACAGCAGATCACGGAAAGAGCCGAAGATGACGGCTAGGTCATGTGATCAGCTGTGTCCAATCACAGCTGATCACATGTAAACATGGAAATGCCAGTTATCGGCATTTCTCTCCTCTCGAGCTGTCATGCTGACAGCTCGAGAGGAGAGGAGAGTCGGTAATCGGCTTTCCGCAGAGGGGACATGTACACTGATCATCAGGGGACTGATGATCAGTGTGCCCTGATGATCAGTGTGGCCCCAGAAGTGCCACCTGTCAGTGCCCCTCAGTGCCACGTGCCAGTGCCCATCAGTGCCACGTGCCAGTGCCCATCAGTGCCACATCAATGCCACATATCAGTGCATACCAGTGCACATCAATGCCACATATCAGTGCCCATCTGAGCTGCCTTTCAATGTCACCCATCAGTGCCAGTCAGTGCCACCTATCAATGCCAATCAGTGTCACCTATCAGTGCCAGTCAGTGCCGCCTAACAGTGCCAGTCAGTGCCGCCTATCAGTGTCATGTATCAGTGTCGTGTATCAGTGCTGCCTTTCAGTGCCCATCAGTGATGCTTGTCAATGCCCATCAGTGCAACCTACCAGTGCCTCCTCATCAGTGCCCATCAGTGCCACCTATCAGTGTCCATCAGTGCAGCCTATCAGTGCCCATCACTGCAGCCTCATTAGCGCACATCAGTGAAGGAGAAAAATCACTTATTTACAAAATTGTATAACAAAAACTAAGAAAAAAATTTTTTTTTCAAAATTTTCAGTGGTTTTTGGTTTGTTTAAGAAAAAATAAAAATCCCAGAGGTGATTAAATACCACCAAAAGAAAGCTCTATCTGTCTCAAAAAAATTATAAAAATTTCATATGGGTACAGTGTTGCATGACCGCGTAATTGTCATTCAAATTGTGACAGCGCTGAAAGCTGGAAATTGGCCTGGGCAGGAAGGGGGTATAAGTGCCCTGTAGGCAAGTGGTTAAAATTGGCCACTATGCCTCATGCCTTAATTTTTTTCTACTGTGAACGTACTTTGCATATTGTTGTATGCCATGTAACTTTAAAACCCAATAAAAAGTTTGAACAAGAATGCACTTTATACCTGCTGCAGATTTCTTTTTTTCATGATGATAGTCTTTATAATGGTCTTAGTAACTGTTTTTAATGGGGGATAAATGCACTGTTCACTGCAGACAACAATGGTGTTAGTCAGCATCACCCCATCTAGAATGCTTAACACAACTCTGCTAATCATTGCTATAGCTTTCTAATTAGTGTTCATAAACACAAAGTCTCTTTCTGAGTGTGTTATCTGTTTTCATTGTTTCATAATACTACAATTAGAGTAGAGAAAGACAGACGCCACATCAACCATCCCCAGTAAGAGTAGCGGAGTTAGTCTTAGCCAAGCCACAAGGGGCATGGCTGGAGTGGCAGCAGAGATCAACACCGCTGCTCTCACTGGGAATGGTTGATGCAGCTTCCATCCTTTTTTACTTTCATTGTTCCTAAATCAATGCAAGGACGCTGACTCCCACTTTCTGTTACCAACAGGGTTATTTCACGTTCTCTGGCTTTGAGCGGCACTACAAGCTGAAATGGTTACTACAATTAAAGTGATAAAAGTATTAAAGGCATTTTATTTATCTAAATAACAAACATGTTACATCTGTGCAGTGGTTTTGCACCACTTGTCTCTCCCTTCTGCAAAGTGCCCCCCACAGCAAGTAGCTTGCTGTTTGGGCATTGGAGCAGGTTCACTCCTGAGCCGATTCTCTGCATGTCCACTCCCACACAAAGCCTCAACTTGACCCTGCCCCTCTTTCTTCTCATTGCTTTACTGGCTGTGATTCACAGCAATGCTGTCTCAGCCAATAAGGAAGGAGAGTCCCCAGAGAGCCAAACTCTCTCTCATCTCCAAGATCGCGATGAGGCTCAGGTAAGTATAAGGGGGAGCTGAGAGGGGAGCTGCATAGAATGCATGAATGTAAAAAAAACCTTTTACAACCATTTTAAAGAGATTAGAATTGTCTACTTGTTCTTAGGGTTTTGAGTGTTAAATTGATATGTTCTAGGGGAAAAAAATGAGAAAGCAAGAATAACAAATCTAGGGAAACAAATGAATAATATTCTGATTACAATGCTACTATAAACCAAAGTATGATTTAGTATTTTTTAACACTTACAGGGTTGACCAAATTCTTGGAAAAGGTCAAATAACCACTGATAAAAAAAGCCGGGAAAAAAAAAGTGTTTCTGAAATTGAGACCGCGGATGACCTCAGTATGTTGGGTCGAGTGGTTAAAGTTGAGAAGCAGGTAATAAAATTAGTTTTTCTTTTATTCTTATTAGTTTTGCCTTAAAATAACTTATTAAAATAAAACTGCACTGAATTAAATATGTGGGCTACCATATGCTTCTGAAAATACTAATGTGTATAAATGACACTGCTCCAGGCAAACACTTGAAGATGCTAGTTGCTTGGCTGTCATGCTAATCTACTGCCTTTAATGCCTTGTGGTTCATGGACCCAGAAGTGGTATGTGAATGAGGAGTTCTGGTTTCACTCGGTATATGGAAATCAGAGGATGCCAAGGAACTAGCACTTTCAGCAGGAGGTCATCAATGTCATGTTACATATTTCTCTTGCTATTGGATTGTATCTAGTGCTGAAGGTATAAGTAACGTGTGGGCAGAGCTTAAGGTGCCCTAGTGGGGACACTGTGGATATGCACTTGCTAATGCTTAAACCATAGACAGGAGCCCCGATTAAACCATGGCCAGTCGCTAGTTAATGGGCCATTCACAACACCCCATTAACAATCAGAGTATCCATCACCCTGAACATGTCACCCATTTCCTTGTTGGCTGGTTGCTTTAGCAAGTGACACAAATGCAGTAGTTATTAGCAACAGCAATATAGCATCCTCTGGACAGCTCTCTGCTCAATAACTGTATCTTTTCTAACCTCTTCAGTCTCCTTGTTGTAAGCCCTGTTCTTTTGATAAACCTTACATGCACCCGTTTAGAGACTTCAGGGCAAATTAGATGAACAATAAAGAGCTTTTACTGATATAGTTTACAACAGCAGTAGAAGAACCAGAAATGTTCAACACTCCTCATGGCAAAACAATATTTAGCACTTAGAAGTTTAAAGTGTTACTAAACCCCGGTCTGCCACAGTGCACAGAATATGGATGTGCAATTTTATAGCATTTTTGATTTGTGGTACTCAGATGCAGTTTAATTCCACTTTAAAGTTTTACTAAACCCAGGACCCTGCATTCACTATATCTGGTCTCCCACAGTACATAGAAATATGGATGTGCAATTTTATTGCATTTTTGATTTGTGGTACTCAGATGCAGTTTAATTCCACTTTAAAGTTTTACTAAACCCAGGACCCTGCGTTCACTATATCTGGTCTCCCACAGTACATAGTGTATGGAAGTGCAATTGATTTAGTAAATATAAACTGCTAAATAACGTTTCTCATAAGTAAATATAAACTGCTAAATAACCATTGTCATCAGCAGTTAGAGCAATCTTGTGACTTCTATCAGTGTCCAGCAGAGCACAGATTAAACCTTGTATGAGGAGTTTTCATTTTGCTCTAGGAGGATGCAGAACCCCTGACTTCTGTCTGGACAGTGATTGGCCCTGTGCTGATCACATGCATGCTCCCAAGAAAAAATTGAACATGTGCAGAGTGTCTCCACACGATATGTCTTATCAGGAGACACTGGAAGAAGGGGAGGATCAGAAAAGTCAGGATCAAATAGCATTTTTACACAACGATTAACCTCTTAGGATCCACAGTTTCGTGTGTATTGCTACAGAGGTTTTTTTTCTTGCGAGAGTGCATGTGATCAGCACAGGGCCAATCAGCACTGTCCAGACAGAAGTCAGGGGTTCTGCATCCTCCTAGAGCAAAATGAAAGCTCCTCATACAAGCTTTAACCAGTGCTCTGCTGGACACTGATAGAAGTCACAAGACTGCTCTAACTGCTGATGCGAAAAGTTATTTAGCAGTTTATATTTACTAAAATAATTGCACTTTCATATTCTATGTACTGTGGGAGACCAGATATAGTGAATGCAGGGTCCTGGGTTTAGTAACACTTTAAAGTGGAACTGAACTGCATCTGAGTACCACAAACCAAAAATGCTATATAATTAATTTTTAATATTCAAAACAAATTTTTCTATCCATCCATGTCTCCATGCTTTATTTTGCTGAGAAATCATTTTGAAAAACACCTCCTGGCATTTCTGGCACTGGCCATCTTGAGTAAGGACAGATGATTACTGTAGCAGTTACGTCCGGGCATCCATCTGTACCTAGCTCAGGCATTGGCTGAGCTGAGAACTCTCCCTCCTCTCCTGAAGACTCCTGGGATGTATGACATCATTTGCCTAGACATGGAAACAAGGAAGTAAATGAAGGAATGCAAAAAAATATATATATAAAAACCAGTAAATATGATATACTTTACTATCTATTTACTAATGCTAGCAGCATAATGATTAGAAATGTTCCATGTTGATTGAGAAAGTGAAGTTCCACTTTAAGGACCAATAGCCAGATGTAAAAAGCAAGGAGGGTTACACTTTAGGAAGCATATGAGAGCATCCCAAGTTTTAAAGACCTCTAAACACCTAAAGAGACAATACAATATATTTTTATGAACATAGCAAATAAATTTCTCTTGAGGTAAAGCATGCTTATGCACTCAGATGCCATTAGTCCACTACACTTAGCAACACACTACTGTAACAAGAAGTTATCCATCGAGGTTTACTTTGGGCTTTGGCCAAAAATTCAATATGTCAATCTTTGTATTAATCTGAATAATGTTTCCTTTAGTTCTTCAGCTTCTGGCCCCAGAATCAAATTAATATGTAAAATTATTCATTAAAACTACAAAAGCAAAAAGTATAAAATACACAATGTACACATGTGGGGCAGCACAGTGGCTAAATGGTTAGCACTTCCGCCTGGCAGTGCTAGGGTCGTTGGTTCAAATCCCAACCACGACACCACCTGCCTGGAGTTTGCATGTTCTCCCTGTGCCTGCGTGAGTTTCCTCCGGGTACTCCGGTTTCCTCCCACACTCCAAAGACATGCTGGTAGGTGAATTGGCTCCTGTCTAAATTGGCCCTAGTATGTGTATGTATGAATGTGAGTTAGGGACCTTAGATTGTAAGCCCCTTGAGGGTTAGGGACCGATGTGAATGTACAATATACAGTGGGGCAAAAAAGTATTTAGTCAGCCACCATTTGTGCAAGTTCTCCCACTTAAAAAGATGAGAGAGGCCTGTAATTGGCATCATAGGTAGACCTCAACTATGAGAGACAAAATGAGAAAAAAAATCCAGACAATCACATTGGCTGATTTGGAAAGAATTTATTTGCAAATTATGATGGAAAATATGTATTTGGTCACCTACAAACAAGCAAGATTTCTGTCTCTCACAGACCTGTACCTTCTTCTTTAAGAGGCTCCTCTGTCCTGCACTCATTACCAGTATCAATGGCACCTGTTTGAACTTGTTATCAGTATAAAAGACACCTGTCCACAACCTCAAACAGTCACACTCTAAACTCCACTATGGTGAAGAGCAAAAAGCTGTCGAAGAACACCAGAAACAAAAAATTGTAGACCTGCACCAGGCTGGAAAGACTGAATCTGCAATAGGTAAGCAGCTTGGTGTAAACAAAATCAACTGTGGGAGCAATAATTAGAAAATGGAAGACATACAAGACCACTGATAATGTCCCTCGATCTGGGGCGCCACACAAGATCTTACCCCGTGGGGTCAAAATGATCACAAGAACGATGAGCAAAAATCCCAGGACCACACGGGGGGACCTAGTGAATGACCTGCAGAGAGCTGGGACCAACGTAACAAAGGCTACCATCAGTAACACACTACGCCGCCAGGGACTCAGATCCTGCAGTGCCAGACGTGCCCCCTGCTTAAGCTAGTACATGTCCGGGCCCGTCTGAAGTTTGCTAGAGAGCATTTGGATGATCCAGAAGAGGATTGGGGGAATGTCATATGGTCAGATGAAACCAAAATAGAACTGTTTGGTAGAAACACAACTCGTCGTGTTTGGAGGAGAGAGAATGCTGAGTTGCATCCAAAGAACACCATACCTACTGTGAAGCATGGGGGTGGCAACATCATGCTTTGGGGCTGTTTTTCTTCGCAAAGGGACCAGGGCGACTGATCCATATACAGGACAGAATGAATGGGGCCATGTATCGTGAGATTTTGAGTACAAACCTCCTTCCATCAGCAAGGGCATTGAAGATGAAACGTGGCTGGGTCTTTCAACATAACAATGATCCCAAACACACCGCCCGGGCAACGAAGGAGTGGCTTCGTAAGAACCATTTCAAGGTCCTGGAGTGGCCTAGTCAGTCTCCAGATCTCAAATCCATAGAAAACCTTTGGAGGGAGTTGAAAGTCCGTGTTGCCGAGCGACAGCCCCAAAACATCACTGCTCTAGAGGAGATCTGCATGGAGGAATGGGCCAACATAACAGCAACAGTATGTGCCAACCTTGTGAAGACTTACAGGAAACGTTTGACCTCTGTCATTGCCAACAAAGGATATATAACAAAGTATTGAGATGAACTTTTGATATTGACCAAATACTTATTTTCCACCATAATTTGCAAATAAATTCTTTCCAAATCAGCCAATATGATTGTCTGGATTTTTTTTCTCATTTTGTCTCTCATAGTTGAGGTCTACCTATGATGCCAATTACAGGCCTCTCTCATCTTTTTAAGTGGGAGAACTTGCACAATTGGTGGCTGACTAAATATTTTTTGCCCCACTGTATATGTAAAGCGCTGCATAATCGACTGCACTATAGAAGTACCTGAAATAAATAAATAAATAAATAAATAATTTGAACATATATTTGACATTTATAAAAGCCTACATAGTATACTATAATACAGGTTGTTCCTGTTTAACTGCTAGAGATGCATATGCAGTCCTTTTGAATAAAAATACCTATAAAATGTTTGCTGTACATATTCACTTATTTTATTAAGACAGTGTGAAGGCTAAAAGTATTTACTGTCCCATCTGCAGGTGCAATCCATCGAGTCAAAATTGGACAGCCTACTTGATATCTACCAACAGGTCTTAAAAAAAGGATCTGCCTCAGCACTGACTTTGGCATCATTTCAGATGCCGCTATTTGAATGTGAACAAACTTCAGATTATCAAAGTCCAATAGACAGCAAAGATTTGTCCAGTTCTGCACAGCATAGTGGATTCATAACAAGATCAGCTAGTGCCAACATCCCTCGGGGGTTACAGTTTGTACTTACACCAAATGAATTCAGTGCACCTGCTTACTATGGATTTAGTCCAGCAATGCAAAGCCAAGCAACACAGGTGACAACAAATGTAAGTGATGGACCTGTAACTACGGTAACAAACAGTATATCAAACCAAATAAACCAGGCCTCGAAGCCAACAGCACCAACAACATTACAAATACCAGCTGCACCCTCATTGAAACATATTAGCAGACCAGAACCAATTCACATAATTCCTATGACCACAAAAGAAGATATTTGTGATGTCACCTCCTGCCTTGTTGCCTCAAAGGAAAGTGTACAGTCTGCACAATCAGGTTTAACTAAAAATTTTGTAAGGAGGAAAAGCCTTGATGCAAATAATGGAGTACTGACTTCGGTCCCCTTCACACATAAAGATTTTGGCAAATCAATTTCTGTGCAAAATTTGATTCAGTCCACAGAAGAACTAAATGCACAGCTTTCATGCAGTGACTCAAGCGTCTCAAGAGGCAGCCAGGAACTTTATCCACAATGGCGGGAGTCAAAGCTTTTTATTGCAGATGAGGAGTTGGAAACTGAAACTTATGAAGCTGCCTCTGAGCCTACTGTTGAAACCACTTTATTATCGGACTCTTTGAGGACTGGAATAGCAGTTTCATCTCAAAGCATTAGCAAAACTAGGGAAGGTGCAAAAAAACCTAAGCCCTCCTCATGTTAAACATAAGTAAAGTTTTTGTTGTTTTTTTGTGTTTATGGTTCCTTTAGTCATCATTATCATTGCATGAATTATTCTGAAAGCCCTTAAAATTATGAGTGCTAGATTCAGAAGGAAACTGAAAGGCAGGCCTTTTCTGGGCCATCTCTTCCAGCTGCATGAAAATGCATGTTTCAAGTGAAGAGAACAAAATAAATAAGAATATATAAAAATATTAAGAAATTTAACCCTAGAAACTTGATTATATATTACTTGGTAAAAATGTTACTTGCCTACCAAGCAAAGCCACAAATATTTGAACATTATTTTTTAATGGCACTGTTTATACATCACTGATTATAATTCAAAGAGTCCAAAGCGCCTTGATTTGAAAGAGAAAAATAGATTTTGTCCAAATTTGAAGTGTAAAGTCATGTTTACAATGAAAAATAATTGTTACAGCTGCTAGCAATTGTACCAAGGAACGTAAAAAGGACTTGAACTGCTGCTAGTTGTGATGGCAAGTACACATTAACTCACTTCTTTTAATGCACACATAACATGAATGTTGATTTCTGTATATTTTTGGTAAATTAGTGTTGTGACAAAAATAACGTTGACACATCACTTTCAGGTTTTTTTCCTAGGAACATTCTTTTCCTATGAAAATTTATAAAACATGGAAAAGGTCACTGCAGTCTTAATAATAAATGCTGTACAAACTCTTTCATTAAGGACTAAACCAGTTTACTATGAAATCAGTTCTGCCTCCATATTTCTTTTTAAAGTATTCTTGGATGTTAAATGATAGGCTTGTTATTTGAACATATTTACATGATGTATATTGTATATATGGAGTCCATGTCTATAGATTTACTAACAGGGACGTCATTTCAGAGGAAAGAGAAGGACTGTGGTCAGTGTGACTTTTTTTTTCATTGACAGCCTTGTCTATTAAAGCCATTTTTTGCAAATACTTACACACAGTCCTAGTCAAAATTCAGATGAAAACTCCTTCCGTTCTCAAATAATGTCCCTGAGTTACAAATGACTTGTTGTGTTCTATGGTTTATCTTACGTGAACAAAAGATTGGATGATCAGTTCCAAAAGATGTCTGAAGCACAAAAGCTAATTACTGTTTGCCATTTCACATGGCGTTTAGACTTTTTATTTAATTAATACAACATCAGTTTGATCTTATTAAAGCTTGTTTACTAATACCTTTGTGACATTATCTAGGGTATCTAAACATCTCAGCTCATACTAGAAATAACCTATTTTGAATGTCTGCATCTTTTTAGCCAAATAACAACTCTGTACATTGAAAAGTATTGTATAATGTGTACATCTATACATATTTTTTTTCTTTAATTTTATTTTAAGAAAATGTTTCACGTGCCTTTATTTCATTGTACATTGCCATATCTTATAGTTATGCATTTTGGTAGGAGATTATAAAATACAAAAATGGTTTTTATTTTAAAGAAAAAAAGTTTCTTTTACTTTGCTTCTTTCCTTCATTAGACTCAGCAGGTACCCTTAGTTGATTTAATTGATAATTTATTCACACATAACTTGGTAAACTGTATTTGCCTTAAATGAAATGCTTGAGAGCTTGAAATTTACTAGTTTTAATTTAATTTATTTAATAAAATTTTGTGCACATAACTGGGCAATTCTATGAATCATATATAAAGAATATATTGGATATTTTTCCTCAAAGTGGAAATAAAGAGGGATATCTTTTCATTTGCTCACTTGATCCTTTTGATGTTTTTCTATTGTATTTTGTGGAATTTCTGGTATGAAACCATGCTAACTAGAAACTACTGCGAAAAATGTCACTTTAATTTTTTACATTCACATTATCATTTAAAATACCAGGAGATCAATTCGCTATTACATTAGAACCCAGAACAAATATAATTACAAAGGTTAATACAGACATTTGCTTCTGTTTGATACATTTTCTGTTTCGGAACAAAAATAGAGAAATGTGGTAACCATTTGGGATTTTTTAAAACATAGGAATGAATTTGGTTGTTACGGTCAACTATTCCAGCCTTATTCCACTTTACCTTTCTTTGTAAATCACCGATTGGAACTAGTCAAATACTTATTGGGTGGTTGGTATAGAAGAAAGCATTCAAGTGTGTGTAAAATCCAAACATTAGTTTTTAGATAGAGTGGTGAGAGGATAGAATCTCTTGGCAAGATTTTATTGCTGTATGTATCCCTGTTAGGAAGATTTGGTCTCTCTATTGGTCTTGGTAACTATTTTCCATTGCTGTATGTGTCCCTGTTAGGAAGATTTGGTCTCTCTATTGGTCTTGGTAACTATTTTCCATCAAAAGAAAATCCAAATTTTGAATTGTTGTTAAAGGAAAATGTTTTAGTGAGTACACTTGTTCCATCAAGAACTGTCTAGGAGTCAATTGTCCTCACTTTGTAAAGATTTTCTCTCACTTCTGTTTCTACATACAGGACAGGAAGCACACACAGATGGAAATAAAACCTGAAAAGAGTTTTTAACAATTCCCTTGTTTATACAAAAATAAAAAAAAAAACGTTTTGGCTTTAGATACATTTTAAACATGTTGTAAATGCATTGTACTACAATTTTCTTTACATGTCTTTACTAAGAAAAGGTTTAATTGGCAATTGATATTAGACAGCTGTTAGTTAATGCACAATTCTAAATGTGTTTGTAAACAATATACTATATATCTATAAACAGTGACTAAAAAAAGTACACATAAACAATGCTAAGTCAAAACACAATATCCAATTGATATAAAAGAAAGAAAAAAACTTCCACCAAAAAAATTTTAAAAATAAAATTATAATGTGAAAAGTTCAATTCATTCCAGTGGTGTCTCTTTAAGACAAAGTGATCCACCATCCATGTGATCCTGCAGTGATTAATACCCCATTGGATTCAACACTCACCAGAAGCAAGTGCAGGCCTCTTTAATGCCATTACTCACAACTCCAGGAGTTGTCAGTAATGGCGTAAAAGAGGCCTGCACCTGCATCTGAGCACGGATGAGGAGGAGATCGGAGTAAGAGATACTAATAATCTATTGATTGGAGGTTCTTTTGGGCTGCTGGCTGATTATCAAGTTCGTGATTTCACAACCAATAATTATTAAAGCGGAGTTCCACTCAACCTATCAAAAAATAAAAGTCAGCAGCTACAAAAACTGTAGTGGCTGACTTTTAAAAAACAGACACTTACCTGTCCCTTGGTCACGTGGTTTGTCCCCCACAGTCCGTTTCACCGGCTTTCCTGTATTGCAGGAGGCCAGCATCTTCAGTGTGGGCACCCGGCTGCAATAGCTTGCGGCTTCACAGCTGGGTACCCATTGTGCATGCGCGAGTTGCGCTGCGCTTCCTGAATGGACCTGTAGTCTTCTGGGACCTGTCACACGTCCCAAAAGACTACAGGGAGGGAGGGATGACATATTCCGTTTCCGATCGCCTAGGCAATCGGATCAGAAGTGGGAGCGGGTACCTGGCAAATTTGGGTACCCGCTCCCCAAAGGAGCCAATTCTTAATGGGGAGCGGAGGAGCAGTCTTTAAAGCAGAACTTCCCCGTTTTGGGTGGAGCTCCGCTTTATGGAGATTGATTGAATTCCTACAAATTTTCCACTGCTGGTTACTCACCAGCTTCTGGTGAGTGTTGAATCCAATGGGGTGTTAATCACTACAGAATCACATGGATGGTGGATCACTTTGTCTTAAAGAGACACTTACCATTGGAATGAATTGAACTTTTCACATTATAATTTTATTTTTATATTTTTTTTTTGGTGGAAGTTTTTTTCATTCTATTATCCTTTTATATCAATTGGATATTGTGTTTTGACTTAGAGCTGTTTATGTGTGCTTTTTTAAGTCACTGTTTTATAGATTGTTTTGTTATTTAAAACGGCAGCTTTGTTTAAATATTTAATTATTGGTTTAATAATTTTTATTTTATTTTTGTATACCAATATTTTCACCATTTCTTTAGCGCGAGGACATAGGCTGGTCTCATCCTATAAATTTTTAATAAGATATGTACATATATAGTCATGTCCAAAAATATTAGCACCCCTGTATCTCTGTCAGATAATGCACCACTTCACCCAGAAAATTTTTGCAATTAACAATGTTTAGGCATTCTCGTGTTTATTTCTTTTGTTTGTATTGGAATGACACAAAAAAAGTGGAGAAACAAAAAGCCAAATCTGACACATTCTACGCAAAACTCCAAAAATGGACTGGACAAAATGATTGGCACCTTCCCGAAATTGCAGAAATAATTGCATTCCAAGTTTTTGATGCTCCTGTAATTTGTAATTAGACTCACATGTATCAATTAACAGGTGTTGACAATACAGAAATCACTCCGGCAACCAGTTAAAATGGTGAAAAAATTGACCTTTATATTGTATGTCTCTGTGTGCCACATGGAGCATGGAGAAGAGAAAGAGCTGCAAAGAATTGTCTAAGAATTTGAGAACAAAAATTGTGGAAAAGGGTGGACAATCTTAAGGTTACAAGTCCATCTCCAGAGATCTTAATGTTCCTGTATCCACTGTGCGCAACATTGTCAAAAAGTGTACAGCCAATGGCACTGTAGCCAATATCCAGGACATGGATGAAAGAGAAAAAATTTATCAAAGATTGCAACGATTATTCCAATGGTGGGTAAATAACCTCCATCGTCTTCCAGACAAATTCAAGCTGACCCTCAAGAACATGGTACAGCTATGTCAGCTCACATTATACGCCACCATCTGAATGAAAAGGGACACTATGGTAGGAGACCCAGGAGAACCCCACTGCTGACAGAAACATAAGAAATCCATATTGGAGTTTGCCAAGACCTACCTGAGGAAGCCAAAATCCTTTTGGTAGAATGTCATGTGGACAGACTAAACAAAATTACAGCTTTTTGGTAAAGCCCAACATTCTACTGTTTTCACAAAAAGAAATGAGACCTTTAAAGAAAAGAATCCCTACAGTTAAAACATGGTGGAGGTTC